ACCAACAACACAATAAGAATCTTGCAAAGGAAATTAATAAATCAAAATCTAATCTGAAACAAATCAAAATCCTTTATTCCTAAAACATAATGCAAATGTCAAATACACCGAAAACCTTACTGAAAGGTCACTCCGGAAGCTCCAACCCAAAACGTATGAATCTCAACACTAAAGATGATAAACAAAATCTAGAATCAATATATAACCCAGTTAGAACTTCACAAAACAATATCTACAAACCTAAATTCCTGGATTCCCAAAAATACCGAAAATTGACATTATTTTCAAGAAATCAACATCCAAATCATTTGTGATCGAAAAACTGATTTAATATGGTTATAATCACTCAAAAAATAACTCAATTTCATTATGAAAACCCCAAAATCAACTCAAGAAATCAGCACATTAATTAGCTCTGAAAATCAATTAAAATCTTAGAAATCCTTTCAATTAAATAAACAATTCAATAGAATCGCTAACACTTAGTCACTAGCCCTAAATGCTTGAAAGAAAACCAAGAAAAAGATGCTTGCCTTGCTGGAAAATAGATTTAAATTTAGATCATCAATGGAATTGCATTATGATCGAGCTTTAAAAATAAGAGAGAAGAAAAGAGAAACTTGAGAATTAAAATCAAGATTGAGATTAATGAATTTATAAATATAGAAGAAAAAGATAGAATTGATCAGCTTGTTTGGGATAAAATGGGGGGTGGGGGATAGAGGAAGTTACGGGAAGTTACCAAAATGCAAATAAGAAGGAAATTAAAAGATTGTGAATGAAAACAATAGAACAATGAAATATAATTTAGATTAAAATGAATATAGATGGAAAATGGTAAAAAGGGGAAATTAAAACATTTTAATTTAGGAGGAAAAACTCTAAACATAACCTTGGTATAATTGCTTCATAGACTTTGGACAATGTAAAAATTTACAAAATGATCACTGAAATCATAATTTCCAATTCTGTCTTCGGTCACCAAATCATTTAATTAAACTTTCATACTTAAAATTAATCATTTAAAATCACTTAAAACCTTTCCAAAATAATTTTAAAACCAAAATATACATTTTAGAATTTCTTCCTTTTTATCAGAAATCTAGAAATCAACTTGAAATTGACCCTAACTACTAGACCCAACTTTAGACGTTACAATGAACGTGCCTCCAGAAAAAGTTACTTGGCAGTTCTCCTAGAAGAATTCAAGAATAAATATTTTGGGGATTAGTTTAACTGTCAAATGAAGAAGGAATTCTTTAGTTTAATGTAAGGCAATCTGACAGTATATGAGTATTAGTGTAAATTCAGCAAATTAAGCTGATTTGTAGCCGAGTTGGTTCGCATCAAAAGGACAGATGTGAATGGTTTGTTGAAGGCTTATGTCTGAGACCGAAGGAGTTAAGTTGACATTGAATTTACATGCATTCCAAGAGGTAGTAAACAGAGCCAAAGCCTTAGAAAGAGCCAGAATGAAAAGTTAAAGAGCAGAAAGTTCAAATAGTTAAAAGTAAATTATAAAGTAAAATAGGGAAGAAGGGTCAGTCTATAGGGATTCGAAAATTTCTAAGTTAGATTTGATTTGAGGTTAACCAATAAATATGTAAAATAAAAGAATTAAAAAGAGGGGGGTTTGAATAATCAAGCTACTAAATAAATAAAATAAAATTAAAGTAAAAACAAGAAAAATGAGAAAAGTAAATTATAGAGAATTAATTAAGATGAGAGATAGCCTCCAACTCTGCTTTTCTTCAATTCGTCTCAATAATTGAAATAGATTTTGCTTTGGATAACTGCCAGTTATAGTCTACAAGGCCCAACCCTTTTAACTTGCTATTCTCTCTAGTGATGTAATTTCCAAAGTCAATCCTTGAAATTTAGGCCTTGATTGGATTAATATTGAATATCGATATTAAAGCCAATGTTGGTTTAGGAACTGAAAAAGCTCGTGCTCTCCCAATGGGAACCGAACCCAATCTTGATTTCTCTTAGCGGACCGTCGCTAAGTTTGTTCTTAGGGAATTAAATTTTCTGAAAACCAACTCTCCTCGCCAACTGTAGATCACAATGTCGATGAAGCCAATGTGCACTCTTTGGATTGAAGCTATCGAGAAGTTTAAAGAAAAGGATGATTTCCTCTCCTTGTCTTCTGAAAATCAAGAAAAAATATGAAGATATGAAGCACTTTTGTAATTCTCACGAGATCGAATCGAGTCGTAAATAAACTATCGACTAAGAAAAAGTTGGCCAAGTATGATAGAATTCATACTTGGTGTGAGAAAGAGAGAAAAGATGAAAAAGAAAATAATTTTATTGAAAGAAACTAAAATAAATAAAAAGTCAAAATCAGTTCTATATTGAATTCTGAACATGTCTCAAACTTTAATTCTAGAGGGTATTTATAGCTTTGAGATAACCTAATGAAAATAAAATACTAACTCTTAAGAAAATTAAAACACATAATTCCTAATTAATAACGAACTAAATATCCTAATAATAAATAATTGAAATCCTAATTGAAATTCTAAGCAAAGAAGAATCCTAATAACTAAATAATAAAATCTCACATGTTTGAATTTAATTACAACTTTTAATTCCTAAAGAATTGTGGTATGCCAGTAATTTATCCTTTGAACTTGTTGAATGGAATATTCTATTGAAGTTAGTGTCTACTTGGTCTTTTAATTGGAGTTGCCGTCAACTACTCCTAAAAAATAAGAAAATTTGTTTAATTTGCCCTTTAATTGTTGTTTCTTGGAAAATATAGTCCTACGTAGATTCGAACATAAATAACTCAAATTTGCATTATAAAAGGAGGTAACACGAATTAATTAATAACAAAATATTAACCAAATAAAGTACTCATCATCCACCCTCTCTTTCCTACACTCGCCACTTTCCGATGATTGCTCTAGCGATGAGATATCAGTTTGCTCTGACGATGAAGTTGGTCCACTTTCCTTACCTTTTACCCCTTTATCTTCCCCATGACGATTTATCAAAAAATCCTGTTTCCACCACTCTAACTTCATAGCACATGTTTTTCGCAACGATTTGCACCATCTCTTCTATTCTCATAACTTGGTATGTTGCCACTAACATCGTAACCTTCTCGCAATCCTTGTGGTGACTTGTGTTCTCCCCAAGTGCTTCAAAATTTCTCCATAATTCAGCAATCCTTTTCAAGGTAGCATCGTTCCAGCAATGGAGAAGATCTCCTGAAACCTCCAGCCAAGTTGCTCTATCTGCATTGTTTAAGGACTCTGATCAGATGTTAACCTTCACGCAAATCTCTTTCAGGTAAGACCACTCAAGATCCTCCAGCAACAAGAACAAGTCCTCATCTTTGATGGATATTAAAAATGTTTTGCCTCCTAATCTATGAATTTTTATGTCCTCGAGTCCTCACTGTTGTAACCTAACCATAATACTACTAACACTGCAAACAGTCGTCGATACCCCTATCAAGCACATGCTCATGTGGCCATCGATCCTCCTCTTATCCTTCACCATTTGTAAACTAAACTCCCCCTTTTACTGCAGGCTCTTCCATGTTCGGTCGCCTCTTCTCATATCTTGCATACTCTTCTACACGTTCTCCTCTATTATTGACCTTTGCAATCATCACTGGAATTTTATTGTCGTAAATTATCAAATCATTTAGTCTTTCAATCGATCTTATCGCATCCGATCTATTAAAACTCGTACGAAACCAAATCTTGTCACACCCTCTACTTCGCTTACTTGCAACGACCACACTCGTGACTTTACCACGCCTACCGAATAACTGCCATAATCCCTTCCGGTGCAACTTAGGGGGCAGGTTATCCAAGAAAAGAGGAATGGGGATATTATATATCTACTAATTTCTAAATACATGGGTTGATATCATATACAAGCATACAAAATCCTAAATGATTGCAGGTTCCACTTTGGGTAGGAAGTGGAATGCAAGCGGACCGAATTAATGGACGGCGTGACAATGGAAAAGACTAGAACCTAATTAATATACAAAGCTATTAAATTCAAAGGTCACTATGGCACTACATTCATTCACACGCACGCGCGCGAATATATATTAATCTTTAAAGTAACGTAATTTTCTAAGATAAGATCAGAAACATCGCACTATCTTCATCTTGGAAGTTGGAAATCAAGTACTACTAATTGTACCGTTCAATTTCCGTGCCCCGATGGAGTATGGACGTGGTGGATTCATTTTTCTATTTGTTAAATATGTATACTTTTAAAATTTTAAGAAACACAACATAAATTAATTGTATACAATGATGAAAGTAACTGACCTAGAAGCAAAAATTTATAAAGATATTTTCGAGCTGTATAGCACCATCATATACGAACCAAAATTCCCCAATTTTTTAATGAACCCTTTGCAAGTGTATCGTGTTTTGATTATAAGCACACCTTTGTGCTTAATATTCATAATTTTATAGTAGGAAATACGAATTTTAAAAGTTTTATTAAAATTTTAATGATGCAAAGTAATTGTATTCTAAGAATGTGAGATAATTATTAATAAATATATAAAAATTACTTAGATTATTTAAATATTTTAAAAATTTGATCACTCCAGTCCCCACTATCTATCCCTAAACACGATGATTATGGGAGGATTGCCCTGAATAGAAACAGTAATTTTCGAGGAATGCATCGGTACTTATCAGAAAATGGGTTGTTGTAAAGAACAGATCACACAATAACCTATTTTCTAGATTCATATGAGGTATATTCGATGGAACACTGTACAGATCCAAGAGAGGGGGCAAAGTGCAAAGAAGGGACCCACAGTTTCCGTACGTGATCAAGTGCTACGTCCAAATTTGAGGTGCCCAAAAACTCAGCAACCCACCAACACTAGCATCAATTTCAATAATATTCTTGATCAAAAATCACCCACCATCTCAGTCCTTTTTCTATTATTGTTCCATAGAAATTACAATTCTATTTCGCACCACTTTGCAATTTCATTCCATATTGGCTTTACGTATATGATTTTCATGAAGGAATAACGAAGTAGAACAACAAGAAGAGAGAGAGAAACAATGGAGAATGAACAATTGTCCTCAAGGAGGCCATCAATAGGGTTTCCTCTTGGTTTAGCCCTTCTTTTGGTCTTTTTATTTTGCATAAGTGCTCTTCTTCTTTGCTATTTCAACTGGAACAAGCGTCGGAATCTTATCTTTGGATCATCCGATCAAAACTGGGACGCCGACGATGATGATATTGAATCAGATGTCGTCGATCATTCATCGGAGCTTCGAGATTCATCTACTATAATGGTACGGTAGTTTTTCACTCCCGTTGGTATTCTTTTTACTTGCAATTGTTGTACTGATATTTTGGTATTTAAAACAGACGCCAAAAGATAAAATTGTAGGGCAAAGCCTGCTGGTTCTGATGGCAGGAGATAAGATCCCAAGGTTCATAGCAATGGCTTGTCCATGTGAGCCACCGAGAACGAAGAAGATAGCCATAACATTATCGAAACCTCCGCCTCTTTCAGTGCCATTTCACTATTCGTAAAAGATTAAAACTAAGAGTCCGATATCCTACTGACGATTCAAACGTCACGTTGGCATTACTTGCAATTAGTATATTTATACTGATCCATTGTATATTTTTGTGATTTAGAACTGTATATTAATTGTTTACGTAATTCACCGATGTTTCAAACAGTCAAGAAAGATGTAATTATTTCTTTTCTATTTAGAACTGTATAGTTGGCTCAATTTTTTTTTTCACGGCAAAGATAAATTTTATTAATAAAAGTAACATTTGCTCAAAAGCCAAAAATTGCTAATAACATCATATGATAATAGAGTTGACTCATTTCTAACATTTAAGATAACATATAACTTCATATGTTGGTAGTTTGCACTAACCTCAAAGAAATATTATTCTTTATTAATCTATACACTTAAATTTAATTCAATTTGTACCAATAGAAACTATATTTGATTACCAATCTAACCACATAAGGCTCACTTTTTAATTCAACTTGTACAATTTATATTGAATTTTCTAATCTAACATACAATATCTGTTTCTATTGCCTTATTTTATAACCTAACATCGATTAAAAATTCATATCTTTTAGTATGCATTTCGAATTTAATATTCGTTTTCTATAAACAAAACTAGATTGACTAAGAATTCAACTATATAAGAATCACCTTCTAATAATTTATATAGAATTTATGGTGATTTTCTAAATATATTGTAAAGATCACAAATTCTATGCATAATTTATTATTTTGCATCTTTGGCTTATTCACTAATTCCCTTATCTTCTACATACAAATTGAACATATATGCATGAATCATAAAATCACATAACATTTAAGAGTCACTTCTTATCATAATAGCTCTATCACTGGCTCATCCCAAGCCAATGTTTCCACATAAATAAATCTAACTATGCACTCGCCTTATATGCCTCACTAGCAAACCTTTAATAGCAATATAAGCCTCACTCATACACTTTTTCCTTAGCTTTAAGTTCGCTTGATTCGATGTCAATCACAACCTATACGAACATCATTTACAAAACACATATATTTCAAAGCACATGTTAGTATCTTACTAACATAGGTGCACACACTACGACAAAAATGTTATATAGCGGCATTTTTCGCGGCGTTTTAAGAGTAAACGCCACTAACTTTAAACATATAGCGGCGTTTACATTTCAAATGCCGCAAAATGGTAACTTTAGCGGCGTTTTTATAAAAAAAGCCACTATAGACTCATACTTTAGTGGCGTTTTTATACAAACGCCGCTATAGACTCATACTTTAGTGGCGTTTTTATACAAACGCCGTTATAGATTCCTACTTTAGTGGCATTTTTATACAAATGCCACTATAGACTCGTACTTTAGTGGTGTTTGTGTTTACAAATGCCACAATAGGCTTGTACTTTAGTGGCGTTTGTGTTTACAAACGCCGCAATAGGCTTGTACTTTAGTGGCGTTTTTGTACAAACGCCGCTATAGACTTGTCTTTAGTGGCCTTTTTTTACAAACGCCGCAAGTTGCTTCTTTAACCCTTTTTCATTTTTTCCCCTTCACCTATTTTTCCATTCACACTCCCCCTTTCTAAAAAATAAAAATGTTTCATCTTCTCTCCTCCTTCTCGACTTTTGACTCATTTTCGGTTCTTTGATTTGTTTCTTGTAACCATGTTTCTTATCCTTCATGACTAATTACTTGATTTTTGGATTGCCTAGGTCCACTTTGCACCGAGTTTTGGGGAATGGTCAGGAGCGTTTTTCAGAATGTGTTGCTGATTTTGATTTGTTTCAACTATTAATCAAATCGCGTTCCCCTCTTTATCGATCTTCTAATTTGATGTATATTAGAGTTTTTTTGTGATTCGTGTTTCTTTTTTTATTAGATTTTAATCACTCGAGAGAACTCCTGATTACTTTCCAAAAATTGGAATGAACATATATATGTCAGTTGTGCGAATAGAGTTATACATCCTCTTCATAATTAGGAATTTTTTCAAGTGTATGGTTACAGTATGTCGGCTGTACGAAGATGGAGCGGGAGGATGTCCTCGGATAATGTTAAGGGTTTGGTTTTAGCTATTTCTTCCAGTTTATTCATCGGGGCAAGTTTCATCGTTAAGAAAAAAGGCTTGAAAAAAGTCGGTGCTTCTGGTGTCAGGGCAGGTACTACAATTTATCAAATGTTTACTTCTTTTTTGATGATTTGATTTCGGATTTCGTTTTTTCTTCTTTAATTGGAAATTGCTATTAGGTTTAAATAAGTTGATGTGTTGTAAGATTCTGTGAATAATTGTTTACGCAATTTAGAAAATGAATTTGAGTGAAGTGCAAGTGATGAATATTTATTTGACCTTTGAATTTAATTCATCAATGCGAGAATTAATCGATTTGAACTCTTGTCAATCTAGTATGTAAGCTTGTATTTAGTAAACTAGTCTTCATGTTTTTCTTTTTCCTCATAAAACTAATTATTTTTGTCTATCAAATTGCACTGGCCTTTTCATTTGCAACCTTTTGATGGTGGGTTTCAGTGTCATCTTTGATTGTATGTATCTTCTAACTTATTGATTATGAATTGTTTACGAAATTCCTCAATCTGTCCAAGTTTTTGTATGCTGAAGTTTTGCATAATGTGTGAAAGAAAGATACAATATGTCTCTATTGAATGAAATTGATGAAAATGATATGTTTTTGATTTTTCAAACTTCAGATTTTCTTTGGTATTGCATGTATGTATTGTTCCTATTGATCAAAGTTTTTTCTATTCATTACAATTCTGTGTTTATTGCATGAAATTTCCTGCTGCATGTGCAATTATATATACATATAATTTTTGTATTTAATGAAATTTTTTGAAAGTATTTGTTATAATTTAGTGATTCTTCGCCTTTTTGTTCCTTATGAGGAGTTTTTGTTGTTCTTATGCATGATGAATCACAATGACATTAGTTTTTCTGGTTCTTACACAGGAGTTAGAGGGTATTCCTACTTGCTTGAGCCACTTTGGTGGGCTGGCATGATACCAAGTAAGTTTTATGGGTTTCTCATTGATAATTAACTCTATCTCATGTATTTTTTTTCTTCCTACTTGCATGCTTACACCCGAATGTTCAAGAAGTTATCAGACTGCAGTCTTTTTAAATACTAGTGAGATGGTCAAGTTTTTTTCATTATGATTCATGATTTTAGAGGAAAATGTAGTTAATTCTAATTTTTAATCAACTTTACAACAGTGGTCTCGTCGGGGAAATTGATAGTTTTGCTGCTTGTGCATTTGCACCGGCCATACTGGTCACCCCTCTCGGTGCTCTCAGCATCATTATCAGGCATGGGAATTTGTCTCACAAATTTAGGTTTGGCATTTAAGTGTTTATTGTTAATCATCACTTCTGATACAGTGCGGTACTTGCACATATCATTTTACGAGATAGGTTACATACTTTTGGGATTCTCGATTGTGTTTTGTGTGTTGTGGGCTCAACAACAATTGTATTGCACGCTCCCGCTGAACGTCAGATTGAATCCGTAGCAGAAGTCTGGGCCCTTGCTACAGAGCCAGGTTACTTTTTCTTAAAGATATTGTTGTTAGCTCATATGGTTTTTCTTCTTGAAATTGTTGTACTACAGAATAGGAAATGAATGGACCATATTTGATATTTTTTGCAGGATTTTTGTTTTACGTGGCTCTGGTCATAACAATTGTCATTATACTTATATTCCACTTTTTTCCACAATATGGACAGACACACATTATGGTTTACATTAGAGTATGCTCTCTCGTAGGTTCTATTTCGGTATGCATAAGGACTAGGCTATTGGTTGCTTAATTCTGTGTTCGTTCGATTGTATTGTCTCCCCTCATATTGTTGTTTTTAAGAGTGTTCTTTGACAGGTCATGAGCGTTAAAGCACTCGGTATTGCCTTGAAGTTAACATTTTCAAGAATGAATCAACTTGTGTAGCCGCAGACATGGGCATTTACTTTAGTTGTGGTTACTTGTGTGATTACCCAAATGAATTATTTAAACAAGGTAATGGTTACACATGGTCTTTTCTTCTTTTGGTACTCTCTATTTCCTAAAATGTCTAGATTTGTGCTTTTCTTTTGATTACTTTTCATGCCCCTCAAAGAAAATGAGACGAAAGGAATGTTGGAATGAATGAAAAACGATCCGAGAATTTTTTTCATTTTACTTCAAAATCTATTTCATTTACCGCCGAAATGTTTCTTGTGGATAATTTTTTTGGTGTTCATAATCATTAATTTAAACTTTAATCAGTTGAAATTTATCTATTTATTATTTTCTTACTCCAAATCAATGTTCCTTTACCTTGAATTTGTGTTGCTGATTTTAGCTAATTTAAGACTTCAGTTTCACAGTCTGATTCCTTTTTTTTGTTATTGTTATTTTGCCTTCATAATTGTAGGCACTTGATACTTTCAACACAATCGTTGTTTATCTCATATACTATGTTATGTTTACGTCACTAACCATTTAAAACCATATAGGTTATATTTATAGAGAACTTTTTATTCATTACTGCTATGTATCATTTAAAACCATATTGGTTAAATTTATAGGAACTTTTTATTCATTAAAGTTATTCTTGTACAGCTGCTATACAGTGCCTGAAGAGGAAGAGATTATATGAACAACAAATAGAGCAGCTTGGGAACTTCCAGTTTCGTATTCATGATCAAGTGACTTGATTTTTTTTCTTCTTTTTTAATGTTTTAACTATTCCCTTGGAGGTCTTATTATTATTATTATAACTATAACATTACTTAATTGTATATATCAATTTCCACAGATGATAATGTTAGAATGTGCTAAAGCCACAACTGAAACTGTAGATGCATTGAGAATTGGAGTTGCTGCAATGAAAGCAATGCAGAAAGCAACGTATGTATTCCGTTAAATTCATCATATCATTACCATATCATTGATGTTTGTTGGCCTGCGGTTTATGCTGTCTAAATTAGCACTTATATTTGGGTCTTTTATGAAGCATTAG